GGGAGAGGAGATGTTTGTACCTGGGGGGAGGGTCACTGGGGTGCTGTCTGCCGGGCACCTGTCCCCAGCGGGACCTCGCGGTGGTGGCCGGAGGGGTCGGGCTCTGGGCTCGGGCCTCGGGAGGCCCCTTCACCGCGTCCTGTGCCACACAGCAGTTCAGCCCGTTCCCGATGGACAGACTGGAATGCGGCCAGCTGGCAAACTGGAGGGCCAGCCCCCCCACGGACGCCGCGGCCCCCCCGGAACAGCAGCTGCACCCCGAAGGCGGCGACCTCCTGTACACCCCGCCCTACAGCCTGCCCTTCTCCTACCGCTACGGACACTGCCCCCTGGACCCCCACGTCTTCAGCAGCAAAAAGCCCGTGCTGCCGGCCAAATTCGGGCCCCAAGGGTCCCCGTGCGAGGTGGCGCGCTTTTTCCTGAGCGCGCTGCCAGCCGGCGGCGAGTGCCAGTGGCACTATGCCAACCCCCTGGTGCCTGGCAGCTCATCTCCAGCTAAAAACCTCTCTGAGCCACCGGTGAACACTGCCCGGCACAGCCTGGTGCCAAACTACGAAGGTGGGTCCCGTGGGCGCGGGGGCGGGGGCGGGCTGTGGACGGCGGTGGTGGAGGTGGGTGGCGGGTGGAGAAGGACCCTCACAGTTTGGGCACACTTCCCCTTTTTCCACTTCTGAGTAGGGAACTCGGCGCTTTCCTGCTCTCAATGCCAGCGCCTCCTGTGAGAGGCTAAAGCCGGTGACTGGTCCGTGTGCTCAGAGGCACCAGTGACAGTATAAAGGGCGCAGGAACCAGGCTCAGCTGCCCCCTGACATCCTGGCCTCTGCTCCCTCCCAGGGAGACGAAGTGATTTTCAAAGGCAGCTTCCACGTCCTGAGAAGGGCTCAGCTGCACGCATTTTACTTTTAAAAATATATATTTTTATTGATGTCAGAGGGGAAGGCAGAGGGAGAGAGAGATAGAAACATCAGTGATGAGAGAGAATCATTGATCGGCTGCCTCCTGCACGCCCCACACTGGAGATTGAGCCCACAACCTGGGCATGTGCCCTGACCAGGAATTGAACTGTGATCTCCTGGTTCATAGGTCAATGCTCAACCACTGAGCCACACCAGCCAGGCTGCACGTATTTTATAAGTTCACTAGAGGCCTGATGCACGAAATTTGTGCAAGAGTAGGCCTTCCTTCCCCCGGCTGCCGGCACTGGCTTCCCTCTGGCACCCGGGACCTGGGCTGGCTTCCCTCCGCCCCAGCTTCGTCCAGAAGGATGTCTGGTCTAATTAGCATATTACCCTTTTATTATTATAGATGCTCTGCTCCAGCCAAAAATGAATATAGGAGACTTGGTTTTCTTCCCATGCCAATTTTCAAAGTGCAGCAAACAGCGGTGGAAATTCAGGGCTCAGGGACAGAAATGTCACTCACCAACCCCTCCCCGACCAGGACTCAATTTCTGTAAATGGGCTCCTAAGCCGTGGGACATGCTTACCCTGGGGCTCGGCACACAGTAGGTGCCTGTCCTGCACACACTAGTTCCACAACAGAGAGACAGGAATGGTCGCTCAGCCAGCTCCTCCTGGTGGCCGACAAGCAGAAAAAGGTCCCCCGTGGAGGTGCCACCACTGCCCTGGGCCCAGCAGACTCCTGTTTGCTCGCTGGGCCAACCCCAGCCGGAAGGTAGGAGATGGGTTGAGGACTGGCTGCAGGAGGTATTTCCTTTTCACCCTGACCTGGCTACTGTGCAAAATGCAGGCCAAGGCGGTGCAAATGCCCTGCGGGGGGCACTGGACGCAGAAAAGGATCCCGTGCTCAGAGAGGACGGACCCTGAGGCTCCCTCCCCCACAATCCTCTTTTTAAAAATGTTTTTTATTGATTTTTAGAGAGAGAGGGAGAGAGAGATAGAAACATCAATGATGAGAAAGAATCATGGATCGGCTGCCTCCTGCGCACCCCACACGGGATCAAGCCAGCAACCTGGGCCTGTGCCCTTGACTGGGAATGGAACCATGACCTCCTGGTTCATAGGTCGATGCTCAACCACTGAGCCACGCTGGCCGGGCCCCACCGTCCCCTCTGGAGGCAGGTAGGGCTCGGTCCTCCTCCTGCTGCTCGGGCAGCTCTCAGCCTGTGCCCTGACCCTCGTTCCAGGCTGTGAAGGGCCTGGGAGAACTCGAACCTCAGAGATGCCCAGGATGTGTTTTTCAAAAGTAACCGATTTAAGAAAAAACTCCCAGCCGCGGGGGCAGTGCAGCCCTGCCTGTGGCCTGGGCCTGTCGCAGGCTTCTCAGATGTGGATCCCCAGTACCAGCTGGGCCCTCAGATAACCAAGGGTTCTGGGGCCTCCAAGGAAAGAGACAGAACCAAGGGCTTCGGCAGCAGCTGAAAACATTGTCCACCTGAGTGACTGAAAGAATTGCTTCTCCTGTGTGCGTGGGCGTCGCCAGTGAGACAGCGGGGCTTGCTTGGGTTTTTAAATGGCTATTTTGAAAGTGAGAGGTTAATAACCACCTCATTTATCACGCACTTGGTGTAACATATGGCCCGGAGGTGCTAATTTGGGGCAATTTGTGGTCAACTTCCTGGTGTTTTCACATTAAAGAGAGACAAAGGTGGCCCTAAGGTAAAAGGCAGGAGGAGCCAGTTGGTGGCAAGCATCTGCTTAGGGAGGTGATTATTATTTTAATAATGACAACCCTGAAGGGAGCAGGGAGATTCCACTCCTGTCCCCACGGAGGGATCAGCCAGAAAGGTGGGGCGACTGGGGCCCCTCCCCCAGAGCCGACCTCCAGACCAGCTGTCCAGCCTGGTAGCCATCGGCCACAGTGAGGTGGGCTGTCTGACCGCGCTCAAACACAGGAACAAAAAATACTTTTATTTTTATTTATTTTTTTAATCCTCACCCGGGGATAATTTTCCCATTGATTTTTATAGATAGAGTGGAAGAGAGCGGGAAAGACAGAAACGTCACATGGATTGGTTGCCTCCTGCACGTGCCCTGACCAGGGCCCTGGCGGAGAGGAGCCTGTAATGGAGGGATGTGCCCTTGACCGGAATCGAACCCGGGACCTTTTGGTCCGCAGACCGAGGCTCTATCTACTGAGCCAAACCGGCCAGGGCACAAAGCATGCTTTTAAAGTTCGATCGCACCGTGAATTACTTGGGATATGTTGTATTGAATTAAGCATTAGTCATTTCACCTGCTTCTCTCCACGCCGTAATGCGGCCACCGGAACATTGCAAATCGCATCTTACGACTGGATGACGCGGCCGGGAGGCACCAGGCGCAGGGACTGCGGGTTGAGCGCGGGTGGCGAGGGGCGGAGGAGGCGCCTTAGGCATTGGCCCTGCTTTCCCCTCCGGGATGTCTAACCTGTCGCCTGTCCCCGCAGCGCCCGCCCCCACGCGCAGGTTCGGCGAGGACACCGCGCCGCCGCCGCCGAGCTTCCCGAGCTGCGGCCACTACCGGGAGGAGCCCGCGCCCGGCCCGGCCAAGGCCGCCCGCCCAGGCCCCGCGGGAGGGGGCGCGCCTGGCGCTGGCCCGCGCGGCGCCC